CTTCTTCTTCTTCTTCTTCTTCTTCTTCTTCTTCTTCTTCTTCTTCTCCTTCTCCTCCTCCTCCTCCTCCTCCTCCTCCTCCTCCTCCTCCTCCTAAGATTGCTTCTGCCAAGCAATGCCGGCATTAACTGAGTCCACACCCAATTTTATGAGCTTTTCACCAGGGTTGTTAGCAAATGACCTGGTTATTAAACAAATCTGGTTTCCCCTGTTGTCTTTGCTTTTTGAAAGTCTGCAGGGAAGTTGCAAGTGGTGATCACATGACCCCAGAATGCTGCTATTATGAATGCATTCTGGTTACCAGGCGGCTGATTTTTTATTACATGACAGACGGTTTGGCTGATTTTTTATTACATGACAGACGGTTTTACGTGCGAGGACCAGTCGCAAGTCACTTTTTCCACTGCCTTTGTAACTTTAAACAATCTGTAAATGAATGGTTGGGCGTCAAGAATTAGCTGGGATCCTAATTTGTGATAACATTCAATTATACCAGAGGTCTCCAAATTTGGCAACTTTAAGACTTGTGGACTTCAACTCCCAGAATTCTGGGGGTTAAAGTCCACAAGTCTTAAAGTTGCCAAGTTTGGGGTCCCCTGAACTGTACAATATCATCCATCAAATATATTGTTTAAAGGGGTAGCGAATAATACATTTCTGCCACTTTCTGGAGCAGAAATCAAAGCCTTTGGTTCCATTTTTCTGCTGGCTCATCCCATCCCTTTGAAATAAACTGGGCTGCTTAGGCCTAAAATTCTTGAACTTTTCCCGCTTTCTCTTTCCTCTAAGGTCGTCGGCTTCCTCAACCTGTTCCTGTGGGCTGGCAGCGCTTGGTTCGTCTACAAAGAAACCCACCTACACAGTCCTCCCTCCAGCGCTTTGCCGAACGCAACCAGTTCCCCGTCTCCTTCAGGGATGTGAAAGGCCTGAAAAGGCCTTGGATGTGGAAATAACACCTCTCGCCTCAGGATGATCCTCGCAATGGCTGTTCCCTCCCCTGTCCCTCCCCTCCTCCATGGTGTAATCGATGTGTGAAAAATCAATGGGTTTCACATTTTTGTTTTTTGCTTCCACGCCGAGGACAGAACCAAAAGTGACACCGTGCACGAGAAATATCACGTTGCATGAAAGCTTGTTCTCTCTGCGTTGAAAAAAAGAGGGTTCCTCTGTCTCGGGTTCGAAGACTCCGCCCTGCTCCCCCGTGTTGATAATAAAAAGTTGAGTGAGCAGCATTTCAATTGATTGAAGGCAGCTTGTCTTGTGTGTGATTAGAGTTGAGTTGTCCCTTGCTTAGTGTCACTCTTTATTAGTGTATGCTTCCTTAGAAGGAAGTCCCGCTGAATTCAGTGGGGCTGACTCAGCAGTGATATGCTACCGGTTCGGCCCGGTTTGACCCAACTGGTAATCAGCTGAGAGGAGAAAGAAGAGAAAAGCGCAGGATTGGCCCTCCTACCCACCCCTGAGCTTTTCTGTTCTTTATCCTCTCAGCTGATTGGCATGGCAGTGCCTCAGCTGGTGTTTGGAAAGCTGCATGCGCCAAGTGCACGATCACCAAACCGGTAGGGAAACTGGTAGAATCCCATCACTGGGCTGACTTGTCAGGTAAGCGTGCTTGGGATCTCCCCTCCAGATTCCCCAGAAGGGAGTCCAATTTTTTGCAGATCTTGCCTTTCTGGCGGCTGTCCAGAATGTATGAAACGCCTGGGATTTGCAGTCAGTTTAGGTGGAAGTCTAAATAACTCTTAACCCTTTGCATTTGTCACTCTCAAAAGTTCTTTAAATCTAGAAAACTTACAGTGCTAGTAGTTAGTTTCCTTCCCTTCCCCATAGTTTCATCTGCAAAGACTTGGCTAACATATGGCCCATGTGAGCATGCCACATATTATATAGTTAAGGTTCCCCCAAGTGCAGCACAACTTAATGCTTCACAGCTGTCTCCATTCCCTCCCTCCATCCCAGTTGTGGTGCAACTATTCAAAAAGAGGCCACTAAGTTGTAATCGTGAATGTTGTTGAATATTGTGATACCCCTGGGCAGTAAATCTTCCAGGTTGTATTTAATTAGCTTTTTAATGACACTTGAATTCAGATTAGGTTTTAGCTTGGCCTGGACTTCTCTGCTTCTTTTTACAAGCTGGAAGGAGGTCTCCTCAAATGTCACTCATGGGCTTAATGTGGCTTGAAAATAATGGTGCAACCTTAACAGGCAGTTAATTCTGCTGATGAATCCAGGGAACCTGCAGGAAAGGTGATGTCTGGTCACGGCTCCCGACAAGAGTTTTAATTTGTAGTCCTTCTGGCAGACAAGACATCCTGTAGAACAGAGATCAGCATCACTCAAGGCTGTGAATTTATGCTTCTTCCTCTTAAAATATGTTCGAGCCAAACCCAAAGCAAAACCTATATGCCAAAGAATCAGGGCTTTATGTAAACTGTACAGAAGCATGTGGGCAGGGAAAAATCGCACCATGAAGCCATTTACAATTGTTTTTATTGTCTGCCAAGCACCAGGAAATTCAGGAGATGCAGACAGTTGAAATGGGTATAAAGGTTTAGTGTAAGCTTGAGCTCTCTACAAGAATCTGAACTACTAAGAAACAAGGGAAATTAGTGGGAGATAAGAATAGAAGCAATTCAAGGTGGGCTGGACTTAGATCTCTTGTGGGCATGAAGAGACTTGAGACTATAATGCGTTTGACCCCTCCTTCAGGCTTAGCCTGGTCATCTACATATTCTGGGTAAATCTCTGTACATTTTGTGATTGCAGAACTTGGTGTGAGGTTTGTGGCTGGTGGTTTTTCTGGCATAATTTTCCAGAGATCTTGTTAATTGGCTAGAAGTTGAGGTTCTGTTTGTCACGATGTCAAATAATAGAAACAGAGGCAGGATCTCGAAGTGAAAATGTATCTTGCATGGTTTTTTTTTTTTTATTCTAACTACCGATAGAAGAGAATATCTGTAGCTCAAGGTTGAATTGTAGAGTCCTTGGTGCCCTCTAAGTACCATGTTTTTCTTGTAGACCTTTCATGACCACACTAGGTAATATTATCAGTGCATTTATGCTAATTTTTATCATTGCCATGTATGAATTTGCCCCATTCACTGCTCCTTTGTTGCCTTGGCTATGTCTTTACTACCAACTTACTTTGCCAAGGTATTCTACCATGGTTGCGGAAATCCACAAAAGTTTCCGATTGTAAACTTACAGGACGTGTGTGTTCTTTGGATTGATTCTTAAAATAATGGACAATGTGATCCGCCGTGTATCAATTTTTCCTCTTGATTCCTATTCATGCCTAGTTTTTAGGGTGCTTGTATGAGTTTTCCCCTTTTAATATAATTTGCATTTACTTTCTCCATGGTTTTTATTGGATTTACAACTGTTTCATGATAAGACGTTGTGGTTAAACCTTCAATTTTTTTGTTTTGTTAGGGACAGCACCTAATCTTCCTCACCCCAATAGTCTATGCTGTAATAAGATCATCCTTTTGCAAAATCTGTCTTAGTCTCATATCCCAGTGGGGGGAAAATCACTGTTCTTAATTTTAGTGCAGGACAGTGAAAACTAGGACTACAAGCTTACTTATCAAAAAAATGTTTCAGCAACATTGGGGAGATTATAGTTAAAAACCAGTGTCATAGTCTCACCATCATACTTGTCTTACTATCTGCTTGTTCCTGGTTTGAGCAGAGTAGGCATATGGGTGAAAGTGAGGATGTAGAAATTGGACACACAGCTGTTTGAAAGGGTATAGGGCAGGGGTCTTCAAACTTGGCAGCTTTAAGACTTGTGGACCAACTCCCAGAATTCCTCCTCCAGTCATGTTAGCTCAGGAATTCTGGGAGTTGAAGTCCACAAGTCTTAAACTTGCCAAGTTTGAAGACCCTTGGTGTAGGGTCCCCTGCTTGAACAGAAGGTTGGACTAGAAAACCTCCAAAGGTCCCTTCTAACTCTATTATTGCCACAGAGAGAGAATTCTCACTTTTTAAAAGTAAGCTTCAGTTCTTCCCATAAAATTAAGGCTTTGGGCACAACCTTTTCCAATCCATAGTGCCCCCCCCTTTTTTTTTTTTGCTAGAGTACAGAATGAATGTGCAAGTGTTGGATTTATGGGCTGGAAACCCCCCAAAAGGCCTCCATTGTTGAAAGGAAGAAGGAGCTCCGGACGTTGTTTAGAAGTCAGACCTCATTACAGGTAGTCCTCACTTAGTGACTATGAGTGAAGTCATTGTCAGCCTTCCTGGTAGGACAGGCAAGGAAACATAATCAGGTGATCTAATTCTACTTTTATTATAAGGCTACATTAACAGAATCTTGCAAGTCTGAAAGTACAACTCTCCCGCCATCTCTTTTACAGCCTGGGAAGTTAAGAAGGATCCTTTCTGAGTTTCTTTCTCTGCGCGTTATGCAGCTGAAGGCTGTACCCTCTTTTATCTGGTTGTTCTCAAGGCTGCCTCTCTCCCCAGCCCATTCCCTCTCCCAAAGTCATTCCCACATACCATTTTACATTTGCCAAGTGAAACATCAGGTGACTCAATGGGCTCACAGTGTCACTTTCCATTCAGCTGTTAAGCGAAACATGACATGATGAACAACTCGCAATTTTACCACTGGCTTCTGCTTATTGGAAGCTGGCAGTGAAGTGTGCAGGTGACTGTGGGAGGCTGCAACAGTTGTAGATTCAAGAGCTGGTGCAAAGTGACTTTTTCAGTGCTGCTGAAACTTCAAACGGTCTCAAAAGCAGGATAGTCATTAAGTGAGATCTACCTCTAGGTCAGGGGTTTCCAACCTTGACAACTTTAAGCCTTGTGGACTTCAACTTCCAGAGTTCCTTAGCCACTTGGCTGAGTAACTCTGGGAGTTGAAGTCCACAAGTCTTAAAGTTGCCAAGGTTGGAGACCCCGGCTCTTCTAGGTAATCTTCCCTGACCCATCCTAGTTTTCCTGAATATCTGCAACTCTTTCTTTGGCCAGTTGGTGGTGCTGAAGGAAGTGGACTTTGACAACATTTGTTGGTTGTGACCATCCTATCCTAGCTATGAAAACTGATTTCTTCACACACAAATCCCTGACCAACATTGAATGAATCTTCTTGAGAGTTGGATGAAAGTATTCCAAAGAGACCTTTGGCCTAAATTTGGAAGGCAGATACCAACGGGTGGGTGAAATTGTATCTCCTGTTACATTGCAGACGTGAGAGGATATTTAGAATCTTGGTCTAGGTCTAGGACAAGGGTCTTCAAACTTGGCAAGTTTAAAACTTGTGGGCTTCAACTCCCAGAATTCCTGAGCTAACATGACTAGAGGAGGAATTCTGGGAGTTGAAGTCCATAAGTCTTAAAGCTATCAGTTTGAAGATCCCTGATCTAGTATGTTTCTCAACCGTAGGAACTTCAAGATGAATGGATTTCCAACTCCTGGCTGGGGAATTTGGAGAATTGAAGTCCACACATCTTAAAAGTTGCTATAGTTGAGAAACATTAGGATGTCAGGTTGACTTTCCTTCCCATAATTCCCCTAGAAGTCATCCCGGCACAGCCCTTTTCAGGGGCAGGATTATGGGAATGTCAGAATTATAACTGGCTTGTCCTCTTTTCAGCTGATTCCATCTTCTGCTCTCCTTGTTAAAATACCCTGCAGTTTTTCTATTCCCCAAACGGAAATGACAAAAAAAAAAGTGCCAGTTACAACTTAGTTTGTAGAGCCAAAGCTATAACCGTGAGAGAGACCCTCAATCTAGATTCAGGTCTTGTACAGCAGTTCAGACACTGGATGAAATTAAAATCCCATTTAGCTGTACAGATTTGCTGCTGCTTTCCCTTGAAATGCTGAAAGCCAGAATATTTGGAAGGAAAACAATGCTTCAATAAAATAGAGCTTTCTCTACTGTATATTTTAATCGCTTGATAAGTAGAGCCCTCTCCAAAATCCCTGTAAGTAACACAAATAAAAGCTCATTTGATGTTTTCCCTCCCCTGTATATAAAGCTGTCTGCCCTATTCATTCATTTGCAGGGAATTTCATGTTTTGCAACTATGGCCTTATATTCCTGATCAGCTTGAACACATTTCGAATTACAGTTGCTGTGCCAATATATGCCTTTTGCATCTTGTTATGTTGGAGACAGAGGCCAAATGCTTTGTTACATATATATATATATATTAAAGAAGTTCATGTACACCTTGAGAATTTTCTCCCGTCTCATCAGAATTATTTGGGAAATGTATGTGTGTCTGTGCACAACTGGTTTAATAAACATACTTTGCTCACTGATCAAATGTCTTCAGTTGCCACTGCTTTCCAGTTCAAAAAATTTGCACAATTTGGCTTTAACATTTCTCTTTCATCATGCTTCGGTGCCTTTTTTGATCTGCCAGTTATCTGATTTTGTTTGAGAGCAGATAAGGAAGCAAAGTGTTTGTTCCTAAAGTATCAGAACACAAAAATGTATTAAAGAAAAATTTTGGAGGGAAATGGTGATACGTTTGATAGCATGTAAGAAAGGTTTAAATGTAACCCTGAAGCCAAGGGAGGGTGGAAGGGGGGAGGAATTGATTCCTGTGTAGGTCTATGAATAGCAGACACAGGGAAATATATGTGAAGTCCATATGTGAACATTTCTATAATTATCTTTAGTTGGCGTGCCTGGAGACGTGAACTGAACAGGGACCAAAGTGACCCCCAACTTAAGAAGGGTCTGGGCCATAGAGCTTATTGAGCCACCTTGAGAGGGTTCTTCTTGCCCTAAATAAGGGGTTCTCAAATTTTGGGGGCCTCCTGTAAAGGGTGTCGTTGGTTTCCAAGGGAGGTTGCTGGCAGGGTTACGAGGCCCATCTTAGCAATCCTTGGCTCAACCGAGAAGTTCTCAAACTTCTGTGACGTGCAGATTCCCTGAAATAATAATTTAACTTTCCCCTCACTAAACATCTCTCTAATAGAGCTCCTTGCTCAAAGCCTGCTTTGGCAGCAGCAAACTGCATGGAAACCAGATTTTTAAACCCAAACGTAACACCAGAAGTTCTCTGGTGGCAGCCAGTTTTGGTGCTCGCAGCAATGTCTTTGGCCATTGTTCCACTTCTGTCGAAGCACCTCTCAAGTGACCAGGACAGAGTCCAAGTACAGGTTGTCCTTGACTTACGACCACAGAGCCCAACATTTCTGTTGTTAAGTGAAACATTTATTAAGTGAGTTTTGCCCCATTTTACGATCTTTCTTGCCATGGTGGTGAAGTCAATCGCTGCAGCGGATAAGTTAACAACATGGTTCTTCAGTGAATCTGACGTCCCCGTTGATTTTGCTTGTCAGGTGGCCACACGTGATCCCGGGACATGCTGAACCCTCTGGGGAAAGGACAGTTCATCAGTGAGAAGTAAACTTCTGGTAGGAAGAACTGAGAGTGGCATCTGGGGTCCTTCCTCATTTAATTTCGCAACAGGTAGCTGAAAAACAGCAACTTAAAGTAGTGTTTTTCAAACTCAGCAATTTTAAGAGGTGTGGACTTCAACTCTTAGAATCCCCCAGCCAGCATGTAAAAAGGTGAGAATTTATTAGGGTAAATTTGAAATGATTTCAAGTGCTTCTTCCCAGTTTTCTTGCTATCTGAGTGGAGCGCCATTTATAAAACCAGTCCTTCATTCATTCTGTCCTCTGGACTATATAGTGTTGAATTTATATTTTACCTACAAAAAAAATAAAAGGAGACTAGTATAGATCTATTTCAAGCTATTTAGCTCTCATCAGCTAGCCATACCCTTTCGGAGATTAGAACCCGGGCTACTTTCCTTATTGATAAAATATAAATTCAATACAAAAATAGTTTGTTGTGAAAGCAACTGCCTGCGAAGCAGTTTTGAGATTCAAAATTTTTTACTACCGGTTCCGTGGGTGTGGCTTGGTGGATGTGGCAGGGGAAGGATACTGTAAAATCTCTGTCTCCCCCCCCTCCCACACTCCTGGGAGAAGGTTACTGCAAAATCCCATTCCCATCCCACTGACCTGCTTTCCAGCTCTGTTCTCCTGTGCAGGACAACAAAAGAAGACCCAGCCGATCAGCTGAGACTCAATGGGAGGCAGAGAAGAGATGGGGGCGGGGCCAATCAGAGGTGGTATTTGCCGGTTCTCCAAACTACTCAAAATTTCCACTACCGGTTCTCCAGAACTGGTCAGAACCTGCTGAATACCACCTCTACTGTGAAGGCTCCTTGATTGGGGCTGAAAGGCAAAAGCGGAAGCAGTATGCTCCATCCCATAATTGGATAGACCAGGTTGCCCTGATAGACTGGTTTCACTAGGGAACACCCCCCCCCCAAAAAAACTCTTGACTATATACTACTCCCTTTCTTTACCCACGAGAGTTACTCCCTTGCTTGGCAAGGAGGTTCACTGAATGCCTTGGCTCTGCTCTCCACTCGTTGAGAAGTCCTTACACCGTCTGATCACTCCAGCTGTTGGATGGTGCCTGGATCTAGGTCAGGAGTCTCCAAACTTGGCAACTTTAAGATTTGTGGACTTCAACTCCCAGAATTCTCTGGCTGGCTGGAGAATTCTGGGAGTTGAAGTCCACAAGTTTTAAAGTTGCCAAGTTTGGAGTCATCTAATCTAGGTGATTCCTGGCTTGAGGTTCAGCTGGAGCAGCTTCTTCAGAGTCTGAGCTGAGCCATGACAATCAGTCTGCCAATTGCTGGAGAAAAATCAGTTGTGTTGGTAGCATGTTGATCCCACACTTCCTGCACCATCTGCTACGTTGAACGTCAGCTGCAAAACTCTGGCTGTGGTATGCAAAGGCAGTCTGTATAGCTACTGGCCCTTTTACCCAAGCAAAAGAGACAGGCTGTCCCCGCTATCAAAATTAGGAAGATTATGGTAGTAACCATGGGGTCAAACTATTTCCCAAAGCATCAATAGGCAAGACATGAAACAATAGTTGAAACTCAGCAAGGAGAGAAGCGACCTAGAACTAAGGAGAAATTTCTTAATGGTGAGAGCAATTAACCAATGGAATAGCTTGTGTTGTGCTTCAATAAAAGTTGTGGGTTTCCATCACTGAAGGCTTTCCAAAAAGAGACTGGACAAGTGTTTGAAACGATTTAGGGCAGTGGTGCTCCTGTGCCAAAAAGTGTGCACCCGCTTGCACGTTCGCGCTCGCGTGCCAGCACCCAGAAGGCAATGCGTGCCGCCCCCATGTCCCCTATGCACGTGCCTGCAATCCCCACCTACCCACCCTCCGCTGCCCCCTTACCTGCACTGCGCCTCACAACGGATTTTTGGCTGGTTTGAGGCCTATTTCGGCCTCCCAGAGGCTTGAGGAAGGCTTCTGCAGCCTTTGCAGGCCGAAAACTAGCCCCATTTTGCCACTTCCGGTATTTTCGGAAAAACAGGAAGTTACAAAACGGGACTAGTTTTCGGCCTGCAGGAGCCTGCAGAAGCCTTCCTCAAGCCTCTGGGAGGCAAAAAGAAAAGGCCTCAAACTTGTCGAAAATCAGCTGTGAGCGCACGCATGCGCAGTGAGGTAAGTTTGCCTGCAGCTCGCATGCCAGCACAAATGGCTCTGTGTGCCACCTGCGGTATACGTGCCATAAATTCACCATCATGGATTTAGGGTTTCCTGCTTGAGCAGAGGGGTTGGACTAGAAGACCTCCAAGGTCCCTTCCAACTCTTATTATTCTACGTTCTATGACACGTTCGGAAAGTGAAAGTGATGCCCAAGCCAGATGCATCTGAAGCTAACGCGATTCCATTTGGAACATGCCCTTGGAAATCCCTCACGTCCTTGGACACCGGAAGAGCCAATAACCTTGCATGTTGCCTTGGAGAAACTTCACTTGACCTGTTGTCCTCCAGAAGTATTGGATTGCAGCCTCCATCCTCTCTAAGTCCCAAGCCTTGAAGAATTTTGTGTTGCATTTTTTAATCAAATCCTAATGACCCTTCCCTTTATGACGCATACACTCTGCTTTTCTTTAAAGTCTAAAGAAAAAGCGAGTTGGCTGACTGGTCTTTCAGGTGATAAGGATTGCCCAGCTTTTGTGTGGGAGAGAAATGACGGCAGATAGAGGAAAAATGGTTTCTTTGCTACAGGGAATACAGGGATAAACATAGGAAGAAAGTACTGCCTTACTCTTTGGCTATAGCTGCAAGGGGATGCGGTGGCTCAGTGGCCAAGATGCTGAGCTTGTCGATCTTTCAAATCGGCAGTTCAGTGGTTCGAATCCCTAGCGTCCCGTAATGGAGCGAGCTCCTGTTACTTGCCCCAGCTTCTGCCAACCTAGCAGTTGGAAAGCATATAAAAATATAAGTAGTAAAACAGGCGGTGGGAAGGTAACAGCGTTCTGTGTGCCTTCGGCGTTTAGTCATGCCGGCCACATGACCATGGAGATGTCATAGAGATGTCTTTGGACAGTGCTGGCTCTTTGGCTTAGAAACGGAGATGAGCACCACCCCCTAGAATCGAGAAGGACTAGCAGGCATGTGCGAAGGGAACCTTTACTTTTACCTTACAGCTCAGGGGTCACCAAGCTTAAATAGTTCAGGGACCTCTAAATTCATAATTTTAAATCCCATGGACCACTAATATGATTTTTTTTAAAAAAATAAATGGTAGTTAGTGCGATATAAAAAATGCAAATAATTTTTCTGCAGACCACCCAAATTTTCTCATGGACCACCAGTTGGTGACCACTGTTATAGCGGCAAGAGAGTTTTGACAGACGTGAAGCTAGTTTACCCAAACTCCCCTGCACCTTGTAGTCCTTCCTGCCCAGGTGCATCTTCCCCCTAGCATATGTGGTCAGTTTATCATTCAAAGCGTCACACAGAATCCCAGATTCAGTGCAAGGTAGATCTAGGAAGGACAGGAAAGTTCCTGTTTGAGATGTTGAAGAATCCAGTCTGTGTGGGACCCACATAGTACACAAAAACTAGCCAGTGGGGCCCAAACCTAGCTTAAGTAGCATATAGCTCATGGCTTATGTTTTAAAATAGTGCCTGAACCTCTTTCTAAGGAAAAACCTGTTGCTGAACCAGGCAAACACACCTCTGAGCTGATACAATGGGATTTTCCTGCTTCCAATAAGTAAAAAATATCTTTAAGCAGCAGCATGCCTTTGATTTAAAAATTTAAAAAAAATTGTCCAAAGTCATGCTGATTAAAAAAAAAAGTAGGAAACTTG